CCAACTCGCATATCTTATGGAATGCAACAAGCTCATGCTCCAACAATTATCACAAATTCAACCACCGCTTTATCCGACAGGCCCGAATGAGACAACGAAGGCGACAAACACGAGCGTAGATGACGATGACGACGACGAGACGCAAGAGTAGATGATTAGGATTTAATCATTTGTATTAGAATAGATTGTACAATGAATTTTAATTGTATGGAGTTTAGTTTTAAATTTAATTTTAAGTTTCTTTTGAATTTTAAATTTAATTTCTTCATAAAAACAAAAATTGGAACAAATAAATATAAATAATTTTATAAAAATTGTCTCTAAAACTTCGAAGGATAATGGTAGGAATTTGGTAGGAGGTATATCGTAGGAAACTGGAAAGAAAATATTGATAGGTAATTAGTGAGAACTATTTCGTAGGAAAGTTGTAGGGTTTATTATATTTCCTACGAAACTTTGGTAGGTAATTCATGAGGAATATTTCGTAGGAAAGTGGAAATACTGATTAAATTTCCTACGAAAATGTGGAAGGAAAATGGTAAAACGGGCCCTACTATTTTCCTACGAAATTTCCTACGCGTTCTCCTACGAACTTGTTTCGTAGGAAATTCCCCACGAATTTCCTACCAAAATCTGTTTTCTACGGACGATTCCCTTCGAATATTTTTCGTAGGAAATTGGAAGGAAACGTCTATTTCCTACCAATTTTCTACGATCTTGGCCGTAGGAAAACGCTGCATTTTTTGTAGTGCGTGTTTTCATTTTTGTTATTTTTTTCAATTTATCTAAACAAAAGTACAAAATTCTACGAACGGCCACACCGGAGAATTAGCTTCTCGTTCCGTACGATGTCGGCGACACTCCGACGCCTCATCCTTCTCTCCTCCGCTAATCGCTCCATTAATTCATCTCCGTCGTACCTTTCCTCCACCGTGAATCACTTATCTCTATCATTCTCTTCCGTCTCATCTTCACCGGAATCACACACTTCCCCTCCCCGGATTCGAACCCGAACTCCACTCGAAACTCAATTCGAAACATGGATCCAGAATCTAAAACCAGGATTCACAAACTCCGATGTTGTAACAGCGTTACGAGCTCAATCAGATCCAGATCTAGCTCTCGACATTTTCCGATGGACATCTCAACAACGAGGCTACAAACACAATCACGAAGCTTACCACACTATGATCAAACAAGCAATCACCGGAAAACGAAACAAATTCGTCGAAACGTTAATCGAAGAAGTAATCGCCGGAGCTTGTGAAATGAGTGTTCCTCTCTACAATTGCATCATCAGATTCTGTTGTGGTCGTAAGTTTCTCTTTAATCGAGCTTTTGATGTTTATAACAAAATGCTTCGATCAGAAGATTCAAAGCCTGATCTTGAAACCTATACTTTGCTTCTAAGCTCATTGCTTAAGAGATTCAACAAATTGAATGTGTGTTATGTGTATCTACATGCCGTTAGATCGCTTACGAAGCAGATGAAATCGAGCGGTGTGATACCGGATACGTTTGTGTTGAATATGATTATCAAAGCTTATGCAAAGTGTCTTGAGGTAGATGAAGCTATAAGGGTTTATAAAGAGATGGCTTTGTATGGTTCTGAGCCTAATGCTTATACTTATAGTTACTTGATTAAAGGGGTTTGTGAGAAAGGAAGGCTTGGACAGGGTTTAGGGTTTTATAAGGAGATGAGAAGCAAAGGGATGGTTCCGAATGGGAGTTGTTATATGGTTTTGATTTGTAGTTTGTCTATGGAGAGGAGGTTGAATGAAGCGGTTGAGGTTGTGTATGATATGTTGGCGAATTCGTTGTCTCCGGATATGTTGACTTATAATACGGTTTTGACGGAGTTGTGTAGGGGAGGTAGAGGGGGTGAAGCTCTTGAGTTGGTTGAGGAATGGAAGAAACGGGATCCGGTGATGGGTGAAAGGAATTACAGAACGTTGATGGATGAAGTTTATTTTTTGAATAAGGGATGATTTGATTCTGTTCATCTGGAAGGGTGATGAGTGATCAATCCGCTTAGCTCTTGTTATTCGAAAGGGGCTAAAAGATGGGTCTTTTTGGTTGGAAGTGTGTGTGTGTTTTCACTCCAGTAAATGAACCCCAGATCGCAGTAATGATCCAAATTATACGGGTTTTTAAGATTCTGTGCTCTTTAGATTACAGGCTGAAGCGTAATGATTCGAAGACTGAAGACTTGAGCCGTGGAAGTTTAGAGATATTATGTGGTTCTATTGATTCGAGGATTCAAGATTGTGTTGTCTTGTATCATGTTCTATGAATTGTGTGTAGATGAGGTTTTATATGACTCTTTTCCTCGACGATATTGATGGTTACTGATATTTTCTTGCAAACCAAATGCTGTACAACATTTGCTGATTTATAAACGCGCTTTCCGTATATTATTACCGTTGATGAACAAATATAAGATTTGATATTACAGGATCTACATCTGCAGGCAGTTGACAAGATTCTTCGTTACCTCAAAGGCTCAAACGAGCATTGGTTAGTTGTGTTCTATTTTACTGCTCTAGATATATCTCTTTGTGGTTTATTGATGTTGAGTGGACGCGACTGGATTATGCATCTTTATCTGGGATTCTCTTGTTTCTTAGAAGCAAAATAAACAGTCCATTGTTTCTTGCAGAAGCAATGACTCCTGAAAAACTCGAGAACTTGTTTGTATCGATCGTATCTTGCAAGATTTGCGACTACCACCTTCTTCTATCGCTGTTCTATATATACTGTGAAAATACTGCAAATCTACTACACTTTGCTAAGAATCATGTCTTCCATAACAGAATTTAACACATTGACATTTACTGTTACATAGTTCTTGAATGCATTGATTCTGATTTCATGAAAACTTTACATGTTTGTTCTAAACGATCTATTAGCGAGATATGAGATATCTCGCTTATACGCTCCATTTTGATAGGAAAGTTATAAAATTGATTTGTATCAATTAACTTTGCTGAAAACTTAGTTATACACATTTGTTCATTCAATGAAACCGAAACCATTGTTCTAAACATATACGAAGCAAGTACAATGTGAATGACTCCATGATCTGCCGATTAAAACACGTTAATTTTTCCTCTTGGGACACCGCTTGAAAACACGTTAATTAGGTGAAGAGAAATTGACAAATTGTGTATACGCATATGGGCTTAATGGGCCTATATATAATACCATGTTAGGCCCATTATATTTATTTTGTCTTCCTCAACAAAAGAGCACCCTGAAAAAAAAACAGATCTTTCGTATAATCAGTGACTTAGAGATCGAAGATTGCAAACGTGAAGATGAGCTCTGCATCCGCCATGAAAGCTGTTGGAGTTTTGCTTCTGCTTACGGTTCTTACATTAGGTAAATACATCTCCTCTCTTTTTGCGTCTTCTACATCATTCTCGATTTCGATTTTATTCAATCTAATCGATCTGATCTCCGTTTATTTCTCGTTGATTTGTGATGTTGATGATGATGATGATCTTCAGCTTATGCGAAGAAGTCAGGTGATGTGACAGAGTTGCAGATTGGTGTCAAGGTAAGCAATACCGCTCTTTCCACGTCTCTGATCGGATCTTATCTACTCCATGTTTGATTCTCTGTGTATGAGTCTGTTCGTTTGAAATTGAATTTGATATCGAATATAAGATGATAATGGTCATGATTACGTAGTTTATATAGAGATACTTTGGTTTTGCTTATGTTTTTTCATTTTCTATGCATTGTTACTTTGGGAAGTAAAACAAGAAATTGGAATTGGACTTGGCTTCTATACTCTTTTGTTTTATGAGATTAGATTTCTGACGTTTCGTGACTGTGTTTTCATTTGTTCCTTTGTACAGTACAAGCCTCAGAAATGTGATCTTCAGGCTCACAAAGGGGACAAGATCAAGGTCCATTATCGGGTAAGTTTTATCGAAGCTTCTATTAGTTGTATAACTTATTGCTGGGAATGTTCATTCTTGCTTGCCTGATAGTATTTTGATTGAGAGAAAAGAAGAGTTATGGAAGAGTTTTCTTCTTATTGTAACATTTAAGAATGTTGTGATTACCTTCATTAGTATTTACTAAAATGTTGTTATTGGATAGCTTAGAACAAACAAAGATAATGAATCTGATCGAAAAAGTGCTTGTTGATTAATGTAGTTCTCTCTTGCAGGGAAAGTTAACTGATGGAACTGTCTTTGATTCGAGTTTTGAGAGAGGTGACCCTATTGAGTTTGAGCTCGGAACTGGTCAAGTCATCCCAGGTTTGTTGCAATTGCATCGCATCAACTCCATCTTTTTCCTCTTTATTGTTATCTTTTTTTTATTGACGGCAAAATTGAAAGTAATGCAATTACTTTCAAATGTTGCAGGATGGGACCAGGGTTTACTGGGAGCTTGTGTAGGTGAGAAGAGAAAGTTGAAAATCCCATCCAAGCTTGGTTATGGTGATAACGGCTCACCACCAAAAATCCCGGGTATGTTATGTTACGTTGTTTGGTTGAATTTGGTTAGTGGAGTATTCAGTTCCATCCTTTTATCTAATGATGAGGCTAGAGAGAACATTGATACTGAATTGATCAGCCAAATAAAAAATGCTGTACATGTTTAAACGATAAACCAATAATGCATCAGAACCAAGAAATAGGGAGTCTGAAACTGAGAGTTGTTGTCTTGTGTAAAGTTTCGACCCTAGCTGCATTTGTTAAGGTGTATTGCAATTGAGACCCGATATTCCATGAAATGAATGTGAATGAATGGTGAATTGCAGGTGGGGCGACATTGATATTTGACACTGAGCTTGTTGCTGTGAACGGGGAACCAGCCAGCGAAGGAAAAGCAAAGAATGAGCTTTGATTACATCTTTGTTTTTCATTTAAAATGAAACCTTGAGTAGTCGTCATTGTCGGCATTTAAATCTTAAACAGCCTAGAATCGTTTACTTTGCTACTTAAAGACAATAATAATATGTTTTGGTCATAACATTAGTTATAATGGCAGTTCAAAAAGACAACTTGTTCTGCATTCGCATATAATCAGAAAAACATTGGCCAGAACCATTTATTTTGCTACTCGTGGATAAATCTTTATCGTCCCACGTTGGATCAGTTTTTGGGCTTTTAAGTCCAATTTAGTGTATATGGACCGACCCAGTTGAGTTTTTTGGGGTTTTTGTTCTGACAATCGTTATCGAATCCTATCCTTTCAAGGGTTTGTTTCTGATCTTCAATTTGTTATAAATCACAAACAGAGGAAAAGTAAGGTGCTTTTGTTTTCTCATAAGGTTAACCTAACTAGTTTCCGATAAAGAGAAAAAGAAAAACTAACTTGTTTGTGTTATATCAATCCTCATTGAATGACGAAGATATCCAATCTTCCTAGAGATTTGGCGGAGGAGGTGCTCTGTAAGATTCCGTTGACATCTCTGCGAACTATCCGATCCACTTGCAAAAAGTGGAACACTTTATCCAAATATGAGAGTTTTGCAAAGAAGTACCTTGGTGATCAAGCAAAAGTAGCAGAAAGGGAAAGAGAGTTTATGGTGGTCATGATGATGAATTTTAGGGTTTATTTGATGAGAGTTAATCTTCAAAACAATGTTGAATCATCATGTATAAAGCGTGAAGCTGAACTTATTAGCTTAGGTGATGAAGTTGATATATCTCAAGTCTTTCACTGTGACGGTTTATTGTTATGCATCAGCATCACCAAAGACAAGACTAGGCTCGTGGTTTGGAACCCGTATTGGGGACATACCCGGACGATCGAACTCACACATAACTTACAGATAATCGATAGATATATGTATGCTCTCGGATACAACAAGAGCAGCAAATCCCACAAAATCTTGAGGTTCATTACTTACTGGGATCCCAATTTTGAAGAGTTCAAAATCTACGATTTGAACTCTAATTCATGGAGGGTTCTTGATGTCACTCCAGACTGGACGATAAGTCATATTAACCATGGCGTGTCTCTCAAGGGAAATGCGTACTGGTTTGCTAATGAGAAGTATTCTGAAACAAGAAGAACCGACCATTTTTTCTTAGTCTGTTTTGATTTCACAAGAGAGACATTTGGACCGCTTTTGCCTCTTCCGTTTGAGTTTGCTGTTTCTGAAGATGCTATGAGTGTATCTAGTGTTAGATAAGAGCAGCTTGCGGTTTTATATCAGCCGTGGGATACATTAAAGATGGAGATCTGGATTACGTCTAAGATTGAGCCCAACGTGGTGTCGTGGAACAGCAAGGTGTTCTTATCAGTGAGTATAAAAAAACTCATTGCCCCTCAGTTTCAGTTTTACTTGGGGAGTTTCTTCATTGACGAGGAGAAGAAAGTCGCTGTGGTTTTTGATAAATACTACAACGATCGGCGCAGCATAGCTTACATCATTGGAGTGGATGGATCCTTCAAAGCAGTGGATCTCGGAGAATCGGCATACGCAATGTGTTACCCACTTGTGTGCTCTTATGTTCCAAGTATAGTGCAACTTAATTAGTCGACCATCTATTTCTTGCATATTTTTGCTTGTTTTGTTTTCTTTCTCTTTTGTCCTCTTCTTTGAACAAGTCAATAAAATTTTAATTTGTTTCTCATACTTCTTTTTGTTTGCCTTATATATTTTACTTCGTTTTCACTGCACAACTTGTGGTCATCCAAATGGTGCACACGCTGCTTCCCCTGCAACTAATGGTTTTGATACTTTCACTCCCTTAAGTCGGAGGCTTCCTAGCAAACTATATGCTTCTTGGTTAGTTTTCTCCGCGAAAGCATGCATCGTTTCTTCCAATTCATTCTGGTCGTACCAGAGTTACTTGCCTCACAAGTATCTTTTTAGTTGGTGATCTTTTGGTTCACTAGACAAAACTACAGAGGGTTCTCTGAGATAACTCATAAAAGGTTTAACAATGGCCATGTACTATATCGAGAGGCAGCTTTTTGTTTTCCTGACTCGTGGTCTGATCTCATTATTGTGCATTAGAATACACTTGCTAGCGAGTATACTGCAGCACTAAACCGAGTTGGTTGCAGTTCTGATGGAGGTCTTGGTTTAGGTAATCAAGCACTCGTAATGTCCCTCTTTCTTTAACGTCTTCTGCAGATAATGCTAATCATCATCTTCTGAAAGTTGTATTGATGCAATCACAAAAGAACAGCTGGTGCAACAAATGGGGTCTTCGGATTCAGAAACGCAACACCAATCTTTGGTATGATACCAACATTGGAACCTTTCAAACATGCAGCACTTCTTCCATTAACACAAGAAGACAAAGTCATCTTGAACAATGTTCAGAAAGTAATCGAGTTCACTAATGTAAGAAGCTCCATGTTGAATATTCCCAATCAGGTTATCTCTCTGGACCTTCTTAGATAATTGAACTTGTGTGTGTAGATATTTTATGTTATGTTGCTTCATATAATTTCTGTTTTATATCCTCTTTTGCGGCATAACTTAGCTAGTAGATCTTTCTGTCCCATCTTCTCATCTAATGATGAGGCTAGAGTCGCTAAAGAGAACATATGATACTGAAATGACCAGCCAAACAAAAAATGCTGCACACTTTAAGCTAGGGATCAACAATCCATATGTACTATAAGTGCATCAGAACCAAGCAATATGGAGTCAAATACTTAGAGTTGTGTTGTTTATTTTATTAATATAATAATTACAACAGTACAAATAAAAATTAAACTAGGTAATATGAAAGAGTGACCATGGAAGATTAAAAACTTATCTAACCTTAGGCTACAAATGGTTGTTTTAAGTTGAATGAGTTGAATATATTAAGGGTGCAAATGGATGACACTATTTTCGAAGTTGAAAGAGCTGAATATACTTTTCAACTGTGTTCAGCCAAAAAATCAATGATATATCACGATTTTACCGGTTTTAACCGTGATTTATGTGTCAGTTTTAGAGTCTTTTTGTTGTTTCTAGTGTCTTTTTGAGTCTTTTTAGGTTTTTACACGTTCGGGACGAAATTAGAGAAAAGGAATCATTCTGGAGCTAAACCGAAGATTTGGAGCTGAGGAGACGAATCCGGTTCGAACCAAGGCATGAGTGTCGACCGACACCCTTGGTGTCGCTCGACACCAAACACGGCCCAACAAGAAGTCTCGACGGTTTAGAGTTTTGAAGCCCGCAGAATTTACCCAGAAGACTTCCTTATTTGCAATTTTAGTCCCTGCACGTTTTTTAGACTTTATAAATAGTTTTTAGGGTTTTTCTATTTCAGGATCTTGTCTTTGGCTTTTGTAATTCTCTGAGCTTGAACCCTTTGGAAGATAATTGGAGAGAGCTACTTTCAGAGAATTCAATACATTGTTAGAGAGAAGATTTATTCTAAACTCTTTCTTCTTTTAATTTCGTATTCTACAATTTATTCAACATGTTTTTTGTTTCATTAATCATGTCTGAGTAATCTCCCTGTTAGGTTTAGGGATTCTCATTATGGATTTAGATGAACTAGTAAATCGATTACCTGTTAGGATTAATCCATAGAGTTCTTCATCTAGGTTGTTCTTAATGCTAGTTCTAGAGTAGCTAACTAGAACTTGATCATAGGATAATAGGTATTTGATCCGAGAGGAGCACCTGTTACTGGAACTACCTCAGGTGAGCAAATATTTCTAGATGCATCAAGAGTTGGTCTAGGAGAATTTGTAAACATATCAAACTTGAGTTTAATGCTAGTCTAGATCTAGGAATTTGCATCGAGAGGTGGAATTACTGATTTAGATGAGTTAGTTAGCGCATCGAGAGGTGGTTAGCTATTCATTAGTGTTTTGAGTTCTAGAACGGTTCGTTAAAATCCTAATTAATTTTCTAGATTTACTATTAGTTTATTTCCTGAGAATTTCCCTAAACCTAACGCTTTAATCTATTGATCTTTTCACCTGATAATATTGCTTGCTACGGTTTTATTTTAATTCTTATTACTTTATTTAGCATAATTTCGAGACTTATAGCTTATTGTGTGAACAAAAAAACTTTGTGGAATTCGACCCTTAAGTGCTTCAATTTACTCTTATTTGAGAGAGTAGGCTTTAAGATTTAATTTGACCTGTATCAATCACCATTTATATTAAAATTGTTTCCAACCATAAATTTGTGAGGTCCACAAAAAGTTGGGAAATTAGCATTTTTGGCTTAAATTTGTTCAGTCTCAAACTATGAGATGAATGAACTGAACCAGGATTCAACTTGTTATTGTTCAGCCTCATTTTTATTTTATTTTTCAACTCATTTTTATTCAATTTATTACTATTGAGCTTTTTCAGCTGGTTCATTTTGGAAAATATTGGGTTGAAAATCATTCAGTCCATTCATCTGTAAAATTGTAGTTGAATAAGACATTTTTGCTGTACAATTTGTTCAATTTTTCAGGTATTTAAGTTGAATGGATTGAATCCTTTTTTCAACTCTTTCATCTCAAATGGTGAAAAATTAGTTGAATGTTCATTCAACTCTTTCAAATTAGTTAATTTTTAAAAAAAACTAATTCTCTCTCTTTACCTCGTACTTTTTGTTAGCATACATAAAGAATATTTTGGGCAATATTTAATTTGAGTTAAAAGACAGAGAACTAATTAAAAAAAAAGTTAGATTCTTAATTTTTTGATCATCTGGGTATATATATTAACATAGCCCATTAAAAAATTAAACGCTAATCCCTAATACATAATATCAAACATCAAATATTGTTAGAAATTTTTTTGGCCAAGTGCTATACTTCTGTTACTCATTTAATAAGTTAAAATGTTTATATTGGCCCCTACTACAGTTTGTGATAATTTTTTTAAAATGTTGTTATATATAAAATTGTAAATTTAAACCGATTCAAACTTAACCAAACCACAACAGAGCAGTGTAGTTTTATTTTGAATATCCTAAATAAATTTTTGAGTATAGTTTTAAAGCACTCGTTAAGTTCGTATTCGAATCCAGATTATACCCGAGCAATCCATATAACATGATTACAAATAAAAACATAATAGTATATATTATTATTATTATTATTATTTTATTCTTTACCAAACAATCCGGAATCTAAATAAATATGAACCAAACTCGATCTAAAACCGGATTAAAAACACCCATGAATAAAATCATATTAAAATATATTTTCACAAAATATGATTTTGAATTGAAAGCGTTATGAGGCCGGAAATGCATTAAATACGATGCAAAAGTTTTAACTTATTTTTTTCATTAGCGCTTGAC